TGTATGTGTGTATGGGCATAACATGCCTAGTTGTATGCATGTATGTGCATAACGTGCCTGGCTGTATGCATGTATGGGCATAGCATGCCAGGCTGTATGTGTATATGGGCATAGGATGCCTGTCTGTGTGTGTGTATGGGCATGGTATGCCTGGCTGTATGTGTGTATGGGGATGGCATGCCTAGCTGTATGCATGTATGGGCATAGCATGCCACGCTGTATGTGTGTATGGGCATAGCATACCGAGTTGTATGCAAGTATGGGCATAACATGCATGGCTGTATGCATGTATGGGCATAGCATGCTTGGCTCTATGTGTGTTTTGGCATAGCATGCCTAGTTGTATGCGTGTATGTGCATAATGTGCCTGGCTGTATGCATGTATGGGCATAGCATGCCAGGCTGTATGTGTGTATGGGCATGGCATGCCTGGCTGTGTGTGTGTATGGGCATGGCATGCCTGACTGTATGTGTATATGGGCATAGCATGCCTGGCTGTGTGTGTGTATGGGCATGGCATGCCTAGCTGTATGTGTGTATGGGGATAGCATGCCTAGTTGTATGCATGTATGTGCATAACGTGCCTGGCTGTATGCGTGTATGGGGATGGCATGCCTACCTGTATGTGTGTATGGGCATAGCATGCTTGGCTGTGTGTGTGTATGGGCATAGCATACCTAGTTGTATTATATGCATGTATGGGCATAGCATGCATGGCTGTATGCATGTATGGGAATAGAATGCCTGGTTGTATGTGTGTATGGGCATAGCATGCCTAGTTGTATGCGTGTATGTGCATAACGTGCCTGGCTGTATGCATGTATGGGCATAGCATGCCATGCCGTGCGAGCTGGCGCTGCCCGCGCTGGCCCGGTCTGTGCTGTTGACGTGCGTGCTGGCACCGTCTGCTATGGCATTTTGCTCATGCCACATATTCTTTTTTTGTGTGTCCCCCTCCTTTTAACCTCTCCTGCTCCTCTATCCATCCCTTCATTCATTCCTAGGTACCACGTAGGTCATCGCCAGCGTCCCCACAATTTCAGTCTATAATTTTCTCCTTACTGCCCTTTTTCTCCCTCCCCTTCTGTTATTCTCTTCCTCCCTTCCATCCCATGTAGTACTTCCGCGCTAAACCTTAAACCCCAAATGCAATATCTAACACCATGAGTGCATATAAACAAATAAACAAATGATGCGGTCCACTTTTGAACGTATGTTGTGTTTGTATGATTCACTGGTGTACTGTGCAGATCGTGTAGCACGCGCTGTCTGTTCCAGCCGCAAGACAAAGAACATCTCCCAACACCAATTTCTATTGCTTGTTGGAACATCATGCGGGGACAAATTTGTGATTGCACGACGTTATCACTGTTCTTTAATTTGGATATAGGGGACTCCAACTATTAGGCTATTTGCGATGCTGCATGTGTTTGCTTGATTGTTGTTTGCATGAGAGGGGTGTGCTATGCATGGGTTTGATAAATACTGTCTGTTTCGGGGTGTGTCTGCTGCTCTTAGTCTCTATGTGCATAGTGCGTGTTGTCGAGAAGAAAACTGAACAAGTGTTGAATAGAGAGAGAGAACAAGTGTATATAGGTCACCACTTAGGTCCCCCTGCTCTCCCTCGTCTGCGTCACATGTCCCAGCACGGCCTTGTCTTAGGTCTCCCTGCGTCGCTCCCCGCCCTTCCTCCCTCGACTGCGCCACCGTGCACGCCTTGCGTCGAGGGCCGGCTCCGCCGTGCCCCACACTCCTCCTCGCTGCGCCCGGTTACTGCCCCCCTTCAGACCCTGCACCTGGACGTTTGGGGCCCTGTCCCCGTCCCCGGACCGCGCGGTGAGCGCTACTTCCTTGTGCTCGTCGACGACTACACGCGCTACACCACGGTGTTTCCCCTGGAGCGGAAGGCCGACGTGCCCGACGTTCTTCTCCCGTGGGTTGTGGCTGCGCGTCTCCACCGCGGTCTCCCCGTGTTGTGTCTCCACTCCGACCGTGGCGGCGAGTTCGCCTCTGGTCGGCTTGGACAGTTCTGTCGTGCGGAGGGCATCACCCAGTCGTACACCTTGCTGGACTCGCCACAGCAGAATGGGGTTGATGAGCGCTGCATCGGCTTGGTCATGGAGGTCGCCCGTACCTCCATGATCCATGCCGATGCCCCCCATTTTATGTGGCCGTTCGCTGTTCGCTACGCTGCTCACCAGCTTAACCTGTGGCCACGCTCCCAGCGGCCGCAGGTTTCGCCGACCCTCCTTTGGACCGGGTCCCCCGGTGACACGTCTGCGTTCCACGTCTGGGGCTGCCTTGCTCACGTTCGTGCCTTTGGTACGGACAAGCTCACTGCCCGCACTGTCCCCTGTGTCTTCCTCGGTTTCCCCCTGGACTCGTCTGACTGGCTTTTCTACCACCCACCGTCTCACCGCTTCCTCCACTCTCGTGACGTCACCTTTGACGAGTCTGTCTCCTTCTACCGCCGCTTCCCTCACCGAGGTCTCCCGGTTGCCCCCCCCCTGTTCCTTGCTCCCTCTCCCCCGGTAGCCCCTGCCCCTCTCCCGCCTCGTCCTGCCCCGTCTGGTGTCTCTCACGTCACTCCCCTCCCGTCGGTTGTCCCCGTTGAGGAGTCTGCTGACTCTGGTGGTACCCCCGGTCCGTCCTTGCCGCGTCCCCCTTCCCCGGTGCTGCTGGTGTTGGAGGGGGTTCTCGCTCTGGGGGTGTTGGTTCTGGGGGTGCTGCTGTTGAGTGTTCTGCCGACGGTCGTTCTGCCTCTGCTGGTACGAGAGTTCCGGCCCAGCCGTCGTCGCCGCCGCAGCAGCCGTCGCCGCCGGTCTCCGCTCTCCGCCTACTCGGCCTTCCCTCCCCGGACCGCGCGACGGTGTCTCTCCCACTGCCTGCTGACCTTCCTGTCTACGGTCCTGTGTTCCCGCCGCCAGACTCGTCTCCGGCCCGTCTTCCTCCTCGTTCCCCTCCTGTGTCTCCTCCGCTGTCCCCTGACCCTACACCTCCGTCTCACGTTTGGGCTCGCCGTCCCTGCCGTGCTCGTCCCGTCTCTCCTGTCCTGCCCACCCACCCTATGTTGCTCCGTTCCCGCTCGTCTCGTCCTCCCCTCCTCCCGTCCCCTCCTCCCTCGTCCCTTGCTGTTGCACCTCCTCCGTTCTCTGACTACCTTCGTGCTGCTCTTCCCCTTGTCCCTCGGGTTCTTGCCTCTCTTGTTACCGACCCTTGTGTTCCTGTCTCGCGCCTTGACGCGCTTGTCGCTGCTGTCGCTGACTTTGCCTCTACCCGCCGCATTGACTACGCCACCGCTCTTGTCTGTGACCTTGCCCGTCCTCCGTCTGTCGGGGGTGCTCCTGCCCTTGGCAGTGACGTCCTAGAGGACAGGCAGTACAAGCTTGCTTTCCTTTCCGAGGCTGCTCCCCATCTCTGCTCCATGCTGTTAGTCCCTGAGGGTGACCCAGACGCCTTCGACATCCCGACCCCTCGCACCTACGCTGAGGCTACCTCGGGACCTTGGGCCTCTCAGTGGATAGCGGCCATGGAGCAGGAGATGGCATCTTGGAGGTCCACCGGCACTTACGTCGACGCAGTTCCCCCACCTGGGGTGAACGTAGTCGATGGTCGGTGGCTCTTCAAGGTGAAGCGCCCCCCTGGAGAGCCGCCTGTCTTCAAGGCGCGCTACGTGGCCAGAGGTTTCAGTCAGCGCGAGGGGGTTGACTTCTTCCAGACCTTCGCCCCGACCCCGAAGATGACCACTCTTCGGGCGCTGCTACACGTAGCAGCACAGCGTCACTACGAGCTTCACTCCCTCGACTTCTCTACTGCCTTTCTTCAGGGCAGCCTACACGAGCAGGTCTACCTGCGCCGACCACAGGGCTTCACTGGTACCTTCCCTCCTGGGACCCAGTGGCTTCTCAGGCGCCCGGTCTACGGCCTGCGTCAGGCTCCCTGCGAGTGGCATGACACGCTACGTGCCACGTTAGCAGACCTGCAGTTCTTTCCGTCCTCTGCTGACCCTTCACTGTTTGTGCGTTCCGGCCAGACTCCGTTCTACATCCTTGTCTACGTAGACGACCTGGTCTTCGCTACTCCTGACAGGGACGCACTGGCCTCTGTGAAGACTGAGCTGCTGAAGAGACACACCTGCACTGACCTTGGAGAGCTGCGTCGCTATCTTGGCCTGTAGATCTCTAGGGACAGAGCAGCACGCACCATCGCTCTGATACCATGTCGAGAAGAAAACTGAACAAGTGTTGAATAGAGAGAGAGAACAAGTGTATATACCTAAGAGTGTTGTACCCTCTAAGAGGTGACCCTATACAGTCTATACAAATATGAGTTATACATATATTTGACACGTGTGGCTGCAAATGTGATAAGGCGTGGATTGTGTCTGCTTCGGACGTGTTGCTTATATGCAAGGTGTTGCAATTAGAGGTTGTCATCGTGCCTGGGGCAACTCTGTTGTCATCGCGCACCCCATCAATCTTTGTTGCAGCATTGATGCATATATGCAATCGTTTCGTAGCACTCACAATCCTATCGTACATACATGTTCATTCCATCCACCGTATTTATCGACGAGATGGGGTGGCTGGCACGAGGTGTATTTGGATTGTGTTTGCCTTGAGCGTGCTGCTTATAGGCTAGGTGTTGCAATTAGAGATTGTCATCGTGTTCGGGGCAGTTCTGCTGTCATCGTGCACCCCATCAATCTCTAATGCAACACTACTAATGTCTACATGCACTCGTTTCTTGGCATTTGCAATCCTACAGGATGTTTAATTATACATAAAATTTTGTTGAAATGTGCGGTCTGATTGTTCCATCCGCCGTACTTATCGACGCGATGGAGCACTTTGGACATTTGGATTCATATTTTGGAGTTGCACCGAACAGTTCTTATTTTTTTTACTGTTCGTATCAATGCTCCGAAATGTGAAACCGATTTTATAGGTTTGCTACGCAACCCAAAAAATGGATCGGGAAATGCCCCGTAGCTACTTGTGCTTCTTGAACGAGGACCAGGCGGGGCCTAGGGACTGGAGCTGGCAAGGTGATGGGAACGAACGACACCCGCGAATCCTCGAGGTGTCGCAGCCCTTGGAGTTGGCGACAGATGGCCAGTTGCGAAGTGGTTGACGAGCTTCGTCAGTTTTGCAAATGCTTTACAATTGCCCAAACCAGAAAGGCTCTCGAAGCGCCATTATTGCAGGCTGGACAATTATTGTAGGTTGGCGGAGGCGTCCCACACCGGAAGTGGCGGCGTCGATCACGCAACGTCTGACGACACGGAAGATATATCATGCACCAACCTTGCACTTTCGAGAACACTTGCGACGTAGAGTACAAACTATGAATGAACCCTCTTATACACTACACAACACATACAAGTAACACTAAACCTTCCTGACCAGGCTTACTACTACGGAAGTTGCTCTGTGCTGCGGCACTTTATCCAATCCCTAAGCCAGGTAGCAACCTGCACGGCAATGAAATTTTGACATGCAAGCGGAATATATATCAGGTCGGTGAGAACATATAGAAACAGTGCTTAAAGCACACCCTTCTTTTTGACCTCACACGGCAACCACATGTGACATTCCCAATGCCCACAGCTTCATTTGATTCAAGGTACCACTCTACATATAAAGCTCACCTGTTGCATACAGGGTCTGTCTTTTGGGTTTGATGCCAAGCACAACACTACTAGCATCAAAACCAAGTTCAACTGCCCATAGAAAAAAAAGAATAAAAAAACTCAAGTCCTTCATAAAAGAACTCACCTGTTGCATCGAGGGTCTGTCTTTTGGGTTCGTCGCCAAGCACAGGACTGCCAGCATTGCCCCTGCCTGCAGCTGGCCGGGATCGAACCGCCCCTCCAAGCGATAGTCCACCAGGCGAGTGAACTCCTCATTCTTGGCGATGGGGACGGCCTGGGGATGGGGATGAGAGATTGGAACCAAAAACCTTCTCTAACCATCTCTCTACCTGACAGTCCACGAGGCGAGTGAACTCCTCGTTCTTGGCGAAGGGGATGGCCTGGGGATGCGGATGGGAGGAGTGAAGCATCTCAGCGGCTGGTGTGTCTGTGTGCCTACTTAGAGGTCGAACGCGCCCCTCAATCCTGTAGTCCGCGACGAGTGAACTCCTCATTCTTGGCGATGGGAAATAGAAAAGACGTCTGAACGCTTCAGATTGTTTAAGTCACGCCTCTCCAGGCAATAGGCAAGATAACTCCTCAACCTTGACAAATCCGGATGGCCAGGAGACAAGCATTATATGACTGAATGGGGCCAATTAGTAGGCCATTGATTAGCCATTGATTAGCCCATGGACAGTTGCGAGATTCGCTCACTCTGTCAATACCAGTACGGACCAATTAACGGAGAGCAAGAAGAGAGAACTCACCCAAGCAGACAAGTTGGGGGGTTGTCTCCCTGGGTGGAAGGGCACGTGACCCGTTATAAGCTCCAGAAGGATGACTCCAAACGCGTACACATCTATGGCTGCTGTTATGAGACCCGTTTGGACATACTCTGGTGCCACATAGCTGGGAGGGCAGCAGGGGAGAAGAGAGAGGCAATAGGGAGGGCAAGAGAGCGAGAGAGGAGGTAAGGGCGTGACTCCAAACGCGTACACGTCTATAACTGCTGTTATGAGACCCGTTTGCACGTACTCTGGAGCCACGTAGCTGCGAGGGCAACAGGGGGAGTGGAGGGAGAGCGAGGGGGAGAGAGGGAGGGAGAGAGAGCGAGGGGGAGAGAGAGAGGGAGAGAGGGGGGAGGGAGAGCGAGGGGGAGAGAGAGAGGGAGAGAGGGGGGGAGGGAGAGAGGGGGCAGGCGAACACTCCATCCAAATGCAACATGTCTATAGTTGATGTTATGAGACCCATTTGCATGTACTCTGGAGCCATGTAGCTGAGAGGGCAACAGGGGGGGAGGAGAGCGGCCATGCAAAGGGGAGGGGGAAGGGGGAAAGGGGTGGGGGGGGAGAGAGAACCTGGTGGGTTGGGGGGGAGAGAGAACCTGCTAACGAGTTAAAGGACGTGTCAAAACTGACCCTTCTGCCCTTGATGCTGGTAACCGGCAGTGGCAGTGCAGTGCGTAACAGTCTGACGCTACCTCGGCTACTACAACTCATGCTAGAGATATGACTTTAGCGAATGTGACGGTAAGGACAAATGTGACAAGAGAGGCTCACCCTCTGGTGCCCATGATGCTGGCTCACCCTCTGGTGCCCATGATGCTGGCTCACCCTCTGTGAGCCCAAGACCATGAGTGACGCTCACCCTCTGGTGCCCATGATGCTGGCTCACCCTCTGTGAGCCCAAGACCATGAGTGACGCTCACCCTCTGGTGCCCATGATGCTGGCTCACCCTCTGTGAGCCCAAGACCATGAGTGACGCTCACCCTCTGGTGCCCATGATGCTGGCTCACCCTCTGTGAGCCCAAGACCATGAGTGACGCTCACCCTCTGGTGCCCATGATGCTGGCTCACCCTCTGTGAGCCCAAGACCATGAGTGACGCTCACCCTCTGGTGCCCATGATGCTGGCTCACCCTCTGTGAGCCCAAGACCATGAGTGACGCTCACCCTCTGGTGCCCATGATGCTGGCTCACCCTCTGTGAGCCCAAGACCATGAGTGACGCTCACCCTCTGGTGCCCATGATGCTGGCTCACCCTCTGGTGCCCATGATGCTGGCTCACCCTCTGGTGCCCATGATGCTGGCTCACCCTCTGGTGCCCATGATGCTGGTAACCGCCATCGGCTGCGTGTACTGGTCCGAACCCACCTTCGCAAGGCCAAAGTCTGACACCTACCCAGGGGGCGCGGCACAGGGGGGGAGGACGAGAGGGAGGAGAGGTTGGGATTGGATTGAGTGTCAAGAAGGGGGCGGAGGCCTGATAGCTCTTTGACTCTGCTTGACTTGTTAGTTCTATTATTGCTCGTGTTGGGCTCACAAGCCCACCCGTACATGCAGCAGATCATGCTGGCATTGACTGGCGTTGACCAAAAATTGATGCCAGCATTGACCAGCGTTGACTCTCAACAGCATGTCAGCATCCAGCAGCATGCGAGCCACCTTGGCTTTGATTGGCTTTCAATGACCAGCATTGACCAACATTGACCAGCATTGACCAGCGTTGACCAGTATTGACCAGCATTGGCTTGTATTGAACAGCATTTACCAGCATTGACTTGTATTGAACAGCATTGACTTTTATTGAACAGCACTGACCAGCATTGACTTGGATTGAACAGCATTGACCAGCGTTGACTCACCAGGGCATGCATGTCAGCGTCCAGCAGTACGTTTGCCGCCTTCACATCCCGATGGATGATGGGCGGGCGGCATGAGTGCAGGAAGGCCAACCCCGTGGCCGCCTCATAGGCGATTCGCATGCGGAGATCCCAAGGGAGTGGGGGCTTGGTTTGGTCTGTAAAGAGGGAGATGCACAGGCAGATTGAGAGGGTGTTTTGACATGCCTGGTGGCAATAGCAACAAGAACGCAGGACGGCCAGCCCCGTGGCCGCCTCATAGGCGATACCCATGCGGAGATCCCAAGGAAGAGGGGGCTTGGTTTGGTCTGGGTGAAAGTGGGGGAGGGAGAGGGTGGGTTGAGAGCTCAGAGGGCATCGGTAAGGAGAGGGGGAAGGCCAACCTGGCGGCCTCACAGGCAATTCGCATGCGCAGATCCCAAGGGAGAGGAGGCTTGGCTTGGTCTGGATGAAAGCGGGGGTTGAAGTCGGAGGGAGAGTGGGAGGTGGGTCTTACGACAGCCTAACATGTGATTCGTCTGCGCACGCCCCACGGTAAACGAGGGGGGGGGGGGGGTGGGGGGCTTGGATCGGTCTGGTCTGGAGAGACGGGTATGCCTCACGGCAACAGCAGAAGAGACCGAACACACCATCGGCAGTTCTCACGCATTTGTACATACACACTCCCAGCAGTCTGCCCTTTCGCATTACTCCTTCCATCCATTATCATCCCCCCCTCACCTCTCAGCCTGGTTCCCACGGACCCATTAGCAGTCACACCCTCAGCAGTCACACCCTCAGCAGTCACACCCTCAGCAGTCACACCCTCAGCAGTCACACCCTCAGCAGCCACACCTAGTTTTGAGGCGCCTCAAATTTCCCCACCAGCTACCTCAACCTATCGTCCGACAGCCCTCATACCTTTCAGCCTCGTCTCCAGAGACCTAGTTTTGAGGCGCCTCAAAACTCCCCACCAGCTACCTCAACCTACCGTCCGACAGCACTTATACCTTTCAGCCTCGTCTCCAGAGACCCATAAGGCACCATGAGCAGCTCCCCCACCGACGCCATGGCAGGCACATACCCCTTGCAGCGGATTTTTGAGTCGACTCAAAAATTACCCATGAAACACCATGAGCAGCTCCCCCACCAACGCCATGGCAGGCACATACCCCGTGCAGCCGGTTTTTGAGTCGACTAAAAAAGGTGATTTCTGAGGTGATTTCTGAGGTGATTTCTGAGGTGATTTCTGAGGTGATTTCTGAGGTGATTTCTGAGGTGATTTCTGAGGTGATTTCTGAGTCGGCTCGAAATTCACCCATGAAACAGCATGAGCAGTTTCCCCACCAAACCCATGGCCGGCACTGGCGCATACCCCTTGCAGCCCTACCTTCGAACCTTACTCCTTCCATCACACGACACCTCGGCCTTGTTTCAAGGGACCCATTAGGCAGTTCCCCCCCAGTCGCACACTTCCCCAGCAGCCAAACCTCTGAACCGTACTCCACCCACCCACCACCATTATCTCTCAGCCTTGTCTCCAGGGACCCATTGGGCAGGAAGTCCAAGACCATGAGCAACTCCCCCGCAGTGGCGCACACCCCCAGCAGCCCCAGCAGGTTCACATGCTGTATTCTCCTCAGCATTCGCAGCTCTGTAAGAAAGTGCTGTGCGTTCAACCCTACCTCTGTGCATTCATCCCTCCCTGTGCGTCACCTGGCCTCTCACCTAGTATTCATCAGCCATACCAAATTTGAGGCGCCTCAAAATTCATCAGCCATACCACACCTCTCAGCCCCCCTTCCCTCTCAGCCCTTTTGAGTTTAGGGTCAGCCCCTGTGACTCAAAAGTCAGCCCCTTCCCTCTCAGCCCCTCACCTCTCAGCCTGGTTTCCAGGGATCCGTTGGGCAAGAAGTCAAAGACCATGAGCAACTCCCCCGCGGTGGCGCACACCCCCAGCAGCCCCAGCAGGTTCACATGCTGTATTCTCCTCAGCACGCGCAGCTCAGCCAGAAACTGCCGCGCGTTCATCGCCCCCTGGGCGTCCGCCACTGCCGGCCCCCACCACCTCAACCGCTTCACAGCCACCTTCCGACACCCCCCACTCGCCCCCCCTCCGCCTCCGCCTCCTCTTTCCCCTGGATTTCCCCCCATAGCTCCCCCCGCATTTGCCCCCATTCCCCCCCCTGCTGCGCCTCCCCCAGTCCCGCCCTCCCCCCATCCCCCCCTCCCCCACCCCTCGCTTCCCCCACCCTGGTTTTCCACCTGAGGGCACCTGCCAGGTGGGAGCACCCCCACAAACACCTGCCCGCTGCCGCCCTCCCCGATCAGTCTCTGCGGGGAAAAATTATCCGTGGCCAATAGGAGCTCGTCCAGGAAAAATTCCTGCTGCCCGTACTCATCCTGCCCGTAAACTTCTCGGATGATTTCGGTGGGTGGGGCAGGGGGGAGGACTGGGGGAGCGGAGAAGAAATCCTGGCCATTGACTTGTGACCGGGGGGATCTGGGGCATTGCTGCCAGCCCCCACTTTCCCCTCCCCCCCCACCTGCCCCAACGCCCCAAGATCCCCCCCTCCCCCCTGCTGCTGCTGCTGCTCCTCCTCCTGCTCCTCCTTTTGCTCCTCCTGCTGCTGCTGAGGCTGAAGCTCGTGCTCCCCCGATCATTGCTCCCCCCATTGCTCCTCCCCCTTCGAACCCCCCTCCATATCCCCCTGGCCCCTGCCCCGTTCCCCCTCCCCCTCCCCCTGGTTCTATTCGGGGGGAAGGGGGCGATGTGGGGGGCACTGGGAGTTTGCCTGGAGGGGGGTGGGGAGATGAGGGCGGGGATACGGGGCATGGGAGAGGGGGGGTGAAGGAAGTAGCTTAGAGGAGAAAGGATTAATTGAGTAGGGAGCCAAGAGGCTCTCTTGTAGAAAACAAGGAGCAAAGAAGAGTTGGAAGGGAAGCTCTTCTATTGGCCATAAAGTGGACCAATGGGAGAGGTTGCTTGTAGGGCAAGCAACCACAAAGTGTGGTGCTCTCCGATTGGCCACAATGTGGACCAATGGGAGAGGTTGCTTGGAAGGCAAGCAACCACAAAGTGTGGTGCTTGGTGATTGGTTGGTTCTTAGGACCAAGGACCATTTGGTTGGAATAGTGCCAACCAAATGTCTACGACCAAATCCAATCTTGACCAACCCAAATGTGGGGTTGGTCAACCCAACCAACAACCCTCCAATAATTATAATGACCACACCTCCTAATCTATGCATGTTGTATAGATATATATTTTACAACACGGGGGGGGGAGAGAGAGGGACGGGGAAGGAGCGGGAAAAAAAGAGGTTGATGTGCAAACCGTCCACACATGTGCAAGCCGTCCACACGTGTGCGAGCCGTCCACACATGTGCAAGCCGTCCACACATGTGCAAGCCGTCCACACATGTGCAAGCCGTCCACACATGTGCAAGCCGTCCACACATGTGCAAGCCGTCCACACATGTGCAAGCCGTCCACACATGTGCAAGCCATCCACACATGTGCAAGCCGTCCACACATGTGCAAGCCGTCCACACATGTGCAAGCCGTCCACACATGTGCAAGCCGTCCACACATGTGCAAGCCGTCCACACATGTGCAAGCCGCCCACACATGTGCAAGCCATCCACACATGTGCAAGCCGTCCACACATGTGCAAGCCGTCCACACATGTGCAAGCCGTCCACACGTGTGCGAGCCGTCCACACATGTGCAAGCCGTCCACACGTGTGCGAGCCGTCCACACATGTGCAAGCCGTCCACACATGTGCAAGCCGTCCACACATGTGCAAGCCGCCCACACATGTGCAAGCCATCCACACATGTGCAAGCCGTCCACACATGTGCAAACCGTCCACACATGTGCAAGCCGTCCACACGTGTGCGAGCCGTCCACACATGTGCAAGCCGTCCACACATGTGCAAGCCGTCCACACATGTGCAAGCCGTCCACACATGTGCAAGCCGTCCACACATGTGCAAGCCGTCCACACATGTGCAAGCCGTCCACACATGTGCAAGCCATCCACACATGTGCAAGCCGTCCACACATGTGCAAGCCGTCCACACATGTGCAAGCCGTCCACACATGTGCAAGCCGTCCACACATGTGCAAGCCGTCCACACATGTGCAAGCCGCCCACACATGTGCAAGCCATCCACACATGTGCAAGCCGTCCACACATGTGCAAGCCGTCCACACATGTGCAAGCCGTCCACACGTGTGCGAGCCGTCCACACATGTGCAAGCCGTCCACACGTGTGCGAGCCGTCCACACATGTGCAAGCCGTCCACACATGTGCAAGCCGTCCACACATGTGCAAGCCATGCGCACATGTGGATCTAAGAACACATTTGGATGTGGTTACACACATGGATGAGGTGGCCAACTGTCCAGTCAGCATGCCACCTAGACATGCACACACCGACCCACTGCCACATCACACGGTTCATTTTCCCACAACATGCCTTGTCTCGTAGCGGTGCAGGCGTTATTTGCGACGAGCATGATCTTGCAGATGGTTGGCAGCCGGTCGGCGAGGAACGTCATCATGTCCACGTCAGCACCGCCACTGCCACTGGAATGGGCGGAACAGATGCGGGGAAAAATGTGGGAAAAGGGGAAAAATGTGGGACAAGGGGAAAAATGTGGGAGAGGAGTCTATTTTTGAGGCGCCTCAAAAATACAAGGGGAAAAATTGTGGGGAAGAGCAGGGAAGAGGAACACAGAAACGAATGAGAGTGTGACCCGCAAGTTTGCATGCATCCCACTGTCCCTATGACTACCGGGCCTTATACATGCACTTGTTATAAGCCCACCCACCTATGAGCACTAGAACACTCGTTATAAGCACACTCTGCATCTCTCCACACGAAAACTAGCTACAAGCCCACCCACTCACCCTATGAGAGTGATGGTGCGCCGCACCGGCCCTATGACCACCATGCCCTGCCTGCAGCACCTTTGCCTCGTGCAGCTAGCAACCCAGTAATAGGGTACTCGTGCACACCTACCCTGGTGGTTACAGCTCACTCACTCACCCTATGAGGGTGATAGTCCGCCGCACCGGCCCTATGACCACCATGCCTGCCTGCACCACCTTCGCCTCGTGCAGCAGCGCGTCCCGCACCCGGGGAGAAGATCGCACCACCACTTGCAGCAGGATCTGCAGGGGAAGGGGGAACGGTGGCTTTTGAGTCGGTTCAAAAGTCGTCCCGCACCCGGGGGGGAGAGAACACCACCACTTGCAGCAGGATCTGCAGGGGAAGGGGGAGCGGTGGAATGTGGAATGCGGATCAATCTGAGCTGAATCGGATCAATCTGAGCTGAATCCGATCAATCTTAGCTGAACCGGATCAATCTTAACTTTCAGATAACCTGCTTCACCCGTGCCGCTTGTATCTCAGGGTTCATCACCACTAGCATCCTTCGCAATTTAGCTGTTACAATGTAACCAGACACTGCACCTCCTCACCTGCTTCGCCCCTGCCCCGCCCTGCACTGCTATTCCCGGGTGCAGTGACTTCTGCACTTAAAACCCAGCTGTTACAATGTAACCAGACCTTGAGCCACCTCCTCACCTGTTTCGCCCCTGTCACTTCTATCTTGGGGTGCAGCTTGCCAGCATCTTCTGCACTTAAAGCCTTCTGTAATGATGTAACCAGACACTGCACCTCCTCCTCACCTGCTTAGCTCCCGCCACTTCGATCTTGGGGTGCAGCGCGGCCAGCATCTTCTGGCTCATCTCCTCCTCCTCCTCCGCATCCTGCTCCGAGTTGAACCGGGCCTTACGAGACCCTGGTGGGGGCGAGGAAGGAAAGACGCAGTGAAGTCTAGTTTGGAGGCGCCTCAAAACTACGCAGTGAATCTCTTCCCTTATTCAACACCGTTCTGGCTCATCTCCTCCTCTTAATCCGCGTCCTCTCTAGAGAGCGCCATGGGGCCATTGCCTAGAGAGCGCCATGGGGCCATTGCCTAGAGAGCGCCATGGGGTGATTGCCTAGAGAGCGCCATGGGGCCATTGCCTAGAGAGCGCCATGGGGTGATTGCCTAGAGAGCGCCATGGGGTGAATGCCTAGAGAGCGCCATGGGGTGATTGCCTAGAGAGCGCCATGGGGCCATTGCCTAGAGAGCGCCATGGGGTGATTGCCTAGAGAGCGCCATGGGGCCATTGCCTAGAGAGCGCCATGGGGTGATTGCCTAGAGAGCGCCATGGGGTGAATGCCTAGAGAGCGCCATGGGGTGATTGCCTAGAGAGCGCCATGGGGCCATTGCCTAGAGAGCGCCATGGGGTGATTGCCTAGAGAGCGCCATGGGGTGATTGCCTAGAGAGCGCCATGGGGTGATTGCCTAGAGAGCGCCATGGGGCCATTGCCTAGAGAGCGCCATGGGGTGATTGCCTAGAGAGCGCCATGGGGCCATTGCCTAGAGAGCGCCATGGGGTGATTGCCTAGAGAGCGCCATGGGGTGAATGCCTAGAGAGCGCCATGGGGTGATTGCCTAGAGAGCGCCATGGGGTGAATGCCTAGAGAGCGCCATGGGGTGATTGCCTAGAGAGCGCCATGGGGCCATTGCCTAGAGAGCGCCATGGGGTGATTGCCTAGAGAGCGCCATGGGGCCATTGCCTAGAGAGCGCCATGGGGTGATTGCCTAGAGAGCGCCATGGGGTGAATGCCTAGAGAGCGCCATGGGGTGATTGCCTAGAGAGCGCCATGGGGTGATTGCCTAGCGAGCGCCATGGGGTGATTGCCTAGAGAGCGCCATGGGGCCATTGCCTAGAGAGCGCCATGGGGTGATTGCCTAGAGAGCGCCATGGGGTGATTGCCTAGAGAGCGCCATGGGGTGATTGCCTAGAGAGCGCCATGGGGCCATTGCCTAGAGAGCGCCATGGGGTGATTGCCTAGAGAGCGCCATGGGGCCATTGCCTAGAGAGCGCCATGGGGTGATTGCCTAGAGAGCGCCATGGGGTGAATGCCTAGAGAGCGCCATGGGGTGATTGCCTAGAGAGCGCCATGGGGTGAATGCCTAGAGAGCGCCATGGGGTGATTGCCTAGAGAGCGCCATGGGGCCATTGCCTAGAGAGCGCCATGGGGTGATTGCCTAGAGAGCGCCATGGGGTGAATGCCTAGAGAGCGCCATGGGGTGATTGCCTAGAGAGCGCCATGGGGTGAATGCCTAGAGAGCGCCATGGGGTGATTGCCTAGAGAGCGCCATGGGGTGATTGCCTAGAGAGCGCCATGGGGTGATTGCCTAGAGAGCGCCATGGGGCCATTGCCTAGAGAGCGCCATGGGGTGATTGCCTAGAGAGCGCCATGGGGTGATTGCCTAGAGAGCGCCATGGGGCCATTGCCTAGAGAGCGCCATGGGGTGATTGCCTAGAGAGCGCCATGGGGTGATTGCCTAGAGAGCGCCATGGGGTGATTGCCTAGAGAGCGCCATGGGGCCATTGCCTAGAGAGCGCCATGGGGTGATTGCCTAGAGAGCGCCATGGGGCCATTGCCTAGAGAGCGCCATGGGGTGATTGCCTAGAGAGCGCCATGGGGTGAATGCCTAGAGAGCGCCATGGGGTGATTGCCTAGAGAGCGCCATGGGGTGAATGCCTAGAGAGCGCCATGGGGTGATTGCCTAGAGAGCGCCATGGGGCCATTGCCTAGAGAGCGCCATGGGGTGATTGCCTAGAGAGCGCCATGGGGTGAATGCCTAGAGAGCGCCATGGGGTGATTGCCTAGAGAGCGCCATGGGGTGAATGCCTAGAGAGCGCCATGGGGTGATTGCCTAGAGAGCGCCATGGGGTGATTGCCTAGAGAGCGCCATGGGGTGATTGCCTAGAGAGCGCCATGGGGCCATTGCCTAGAGAGCGCCATGGGGTGATTGCCTAGAGAGCGCCATGGGGTGATTGCCTAGAGAGCGCCATGGGGTGATTGCCTAGAGAGCGCCATGGGGCCATTGCCTAGAGAGCGCCATGGGGTGATTGCCTAGAGAGCGCCATGGGGCCATTGCCTAGAGAGCGCCATGGGGTGATTGCCTAGAGAGCGCCATGGGGCCATTGCCTAGAGAGCGCCATGGGGTGATTGCCTAGAGAGCGCCATGGGGTGAATGCCTAGAGAGCGCCATGGGGTGATTGCCTAGAGAGCGCCATGGGGTGATTGCCTAGAGAGCGCCATGGGGTGATTGCCTAGAGAGCGCCATGGGGCCATTGCCTAGAGAGCGCCATGGGGTGATTGCCTAGAGAGCGCCATGGGGTGAATGCCTAGAGAGCGCCATGGGGTGATTGCCTAGAGAGCGCCATGGGGTGAATGCCTAGAGAGCGCCATGGGGTGATTGCCTAGAGAGCGCCATGGGGCCATTGCCTAGAGAGCGCCATGGGGTGATTGCCTAGAGAGCGCCATGGGGTGAATGCCTAGAGAGCGCCATGGGGTGATTGCCTAGAGAGCGCCATGGGGTGATTGCCTAGAGAGCGCCATGGGGTGATTGCCTAGAGAGCGCCATGGGGTGATTGCCTAGAAAGCGCCATGGGGTCATTCCTTGAGGGCACCTAGAAGAACTCGAATGGACCTGGGGACTGCGGGGATCGGGGGATCGGGGGATCGGGGGATCGGGGGATTGGGGGATCGGGGGATTGGGGGATCGGGGGATCGGGGGATTGGGGGATTGGGGGATTGGGGGATTGGGGGATTGGGGGATTGGGGATTGGGGGATTGGGGGATTGGGGGATTGGGGGATTGGGGGATTGGGGGATTGGGGGATTCGGGGATTGGGGGATTGGGGGATTGGGGGATTGGGGGATTCGGGGATTGGGGGATTCGGGGATTGGGGGATTCGGGGATTGGGGGATCGGGGGATTGGGGGATTCGGGGATGCGCACGGCCAGGGCGACGATGCGATCCCCGGGGACCACCAATCTCGAGAGCGCGAAGTTGACGAGCACCTGACCCTCCCTCGGGACTGCCGGATTCTGATGGCTGGGCGAAACGCACCTGAGGAGTGCGGGGCGCGGACAATTCTGACAGCCATGGCGATAATTCGATCCCCCGGGACCACTAGTCTCGAGAGCGCGAATTCGACGAGCGCCTGGCCCTCCTTCGAGACTGCCGCGCTGCCGCCTCGGTTGCTGCTGCCGCCGCCGCCGCTGCCGCTCCACAGCAGATTCGCGTTCGGCTGGTGCAGTCGCACCCCCACCAGTACCACCTTTCCCCCGCCGCCGCCGACGCTGGAGCGAGCTGGCGGGAGTGACATCATGCTGTCGTGAGTACCGGCGATGGACGAGGCTTACACGTCAGGCTGGCGGGTTTGAGAAAGGGAGGCACCCGCGCGCGCGTCACGGGCCGCTCACAACGCTACTGAGGGTGTGGATGAGGGCGATGGCAGGAAGGTTACGTTAAGTCAGGCTGGTGGATTTGAGAGGGAGATGCTACCAAGGCTGTGGATAACGTCGACGGCACGAGGAGGCGGATAACGGACGAGGTGATAACGGGACTTGAATCATGGACGAGGTGATTATAGCGGGAGCGCGTTAGCTGCTGCCGGAAACGGCACTGCCAACGATTCGAGGCATGGACGAGGGAGATCGTAGCGAAAGCGCGAGGCTAGCGGCTGCTCCGTTTCTCTCAAGCGAACTCGTCACTTCTAGACCTGAGAAGCAGAAAAAAGAAATCGCGAAGAAGCGCCCTTGCATCAACGTTGCCTGCGTCTTCCCCGGCGTGCCTGTTATTACGCGGTTCCTAGACTTACTGTAGTAGATGAGAGCGAATTGGCGGGAATGTGGCCATTTCGCTGAGGAAAGCCCTTTTCAGGAGGACGTGCCAGTGCTGCTACCTTGGTCGACAGGAGAAGTGTCAGTTGGCTGAAGTAGGGCGCAAGCACATTCTGGTTCTCAAACCGACCGAGCCTACTGATTTCTCCCTCTTAGCCTGAAAGCGGATTGAAACGAACCGCAGCAAGCATTCAGCGCGAAGGACGCTGGTGGCGTGTGACGAAGGAAATTGCGACTGTGACGGCTTTCGTCGACGTGCAGCGAAACAGCCTCGGTGGCGTGCGCGCGAACGACGAATGTCAGTTCCACACAACGTTTTCGCCCTGCTCTGGTGTCTTTCACCCACCATCGACAGCTAACAGTCAATATTCGTCAGCATCCAGTCACCCAGCTGCAAAATCTCCGTCAGAAGTAAATCGAGAAGTACCCTTTTGTGATGAACAGTGTAGCTTCTCTCTGCGAGGTCCGTTTCACCGCACGAAACAATAAGAAATCTTCTCAAAATGGGACACGCCCTGAGAGCTCCTCGAGTCAGAGGAAACCCAGAAAGAACCAGAACGAGCTGAACAAAAGCCAGCTGATTTTTTTCCCCAGCAGCCATGACTGCAGGAAACGCGTGAGGTACGGCAACCCGCAATCGGAGCCGTCAGTTTGAGAGAGATTCTTCGCGGTTCCCTCACGTCTTAATTTCAATTTCGGACGTCGGCTTCATGGCGGATCCCTAGCAGTTTCCGGGTGATAAAAAGTTCCTGAATCTGGTTACGGCAGCTAGGGTTACGATTCATGACGACAGCTAGCACAGCCAGTGACGGCTAACTCTTTTTAAGGAAACCGGATGCGGTAAGCCCCGCTATAAGCATTTCCTGTCCATTGTAGTTTCGCTGGTTCTACCACCGTATTTCTCAGAGCGACTCGGGCCTGATTCCCCGCGTGGCGACTTCTTAGCAACTTCGTGGCGACTCCAACCTAGTCGTGTGGCGCCTAGGCTAGCTATTATTTTCATCCGATTCAGATTCGAGCACCCGTCTCTAAGCGCGTTCTAGCTGCCTTTTCTTTCGACCGTGTTATCTACCGTCTCACCTCCGCGTCTTTCGCTCCCCATCGCCCGTTTCAGTCCGTCGCACGCCGACCGTGCGTGAGGGCTCCATTCTGGCGACGACGTTAGGATCGTGCGACGACGCGTAGCGAGCCGTGCGACGGCGCGTGCGACGCTGGAGAGCGATGCTGAGCGTGCTGCGAGTGCACCTGCCGTCCGACATCCCCATCGCCGGCTGCGAGCTGTGCCCCTACGTGCTGCTGCGCAAGCCCGATGGCACCATCACCACGGAAGACATCCCCGACACCAACCCCATCGATGGCTACTACATCCGCTGCCGCTGGTACGAACGTGCTGTTCTGTAGTGGTTATCCTCGAATGCATGCCTTCGCTCATCTTTCGCTCATGGCGTCGTGGGCTCGCGTGTGCGTGCTGCTGCGCAAGGAGTCTATTTTTGAGGCGCCTCAAGAATGCATGCCTTCGCTCATCTTTCCCTCATGGGATCGTGGGCTCGCGTGTGCGTGCTGCTGCGCAAGCCCCGGTGGCACCATCGTCACAGGAGGATCCCTCCATTTCATCCAATCATTCCTCCCACCCAGGTACCGTGTGCAGAGTGATAAGAGGGTTGCTGTCTGCTCCGTGCACCCCAACGAGCCGGCCACCCTGCAGTGCCTGGGCTGCGTGAAGGCGAAGCTGCCCATCGCCCGCAGCTACCACTGCTCGCCGCTCTGCTTCCAGTCCGCCTGGCCACGCCACCGCGCGCTGCACTCGCGCGGGCTAGGCGGCAGCACCCACGGCAGCAGCGACGGGACAATCCCAGGGGAGATTAGCGCTGGTGGTGGTGCTGCTGGGGTTGGGGGCGGGCAGAGGCGGGAGAATGGGGGGGCGGCGGAGGAGGAGGAGCTGTTTGGGAAGTTCAACAGTGGGAATGGGACCACGGGACTAGCGGGAGGGGGGGCACAGGGGGGGATGGGGGGATATGGGCAGGCGGAGCAGCAGCAGGGGGTGCAGAGGCCCCTGGGCGGGGGATTCGCGCACAGGCCCCCGCCAGGGGGGGTTGCTCATCAGTTTGACACTACTGGGGGGGGTTCTAACGCGGGCGGAGGGGCGAGTGGGGGCGAGGTGTGGTTCGAAGTGGGGCGCGGAAAACCCTACACCCCCAGCACAGACGACGTGGGCCATGTGCTAAAGCTCGAGTGCGTGCCCATAGAAGCCGCCACAGGCCTCCCAGTGGCTCCCCCGTCCACTCTCCTCACCTCCCGGGTCATCCCTGCCCCATCCCCCACGCCCCGTCGCATGGTGGCGGTTGGGGGGGGAGAGGGGGAAGGGCAGATGGGGGGCGGAGGGGGGAGAGGGGGGTTCACGCTGCTGTCGTACAATGTGTTGGCGGACCTGTATGCGACGAGTGAGATGTACAGCTACTGCCCGCCCTGGGCGCTCTCATGGGCGTATAGAAAACAGAACTTGCTGCGGGAGCTGCTGGGATATCGAGCTGATATCATGTGCTTGCAGGAGGTGAGTTTTCAATGGTTGGGATTATATCATTATAACGAGTATGGAGTGTAACGGGTATGCATGCATGGGCGTACAGGAAGCAGAATTGGCTGAGCGAGCTGCTGGCTGGGGCACTGCGCTGATATCATGTGCTTGCAGGAGGTGAGCGTGTAACGAGTGTGCATATAATGGTTTCGTAACGAGTGAAAGGTACAGCTGCCAACCCCCTTTTTGCCCCCTCTCGCCCTCTACCCTGTCTCGGACCCCCTTACATCCCCCCGGGCCTCTTTTTCACACGCGTCGACTGCAGAGCGGCGACCTTGTGGAGTTGTTTGGGCCAGAAGGTGCTGTAGGCTCTATCCCAGAATATTCCTTCTGCTCTTCACATTCCCTCCCCGCTCCTCCCCTTCCCCCCACTCGCCTTTACTCACCACTTTGAGGGCTTCTTTGGGCTTCTCTGAAACAAGCGCAAGCCCTCAAAGAAGCCCTCAAAGTGGCGCTTGTTTCAGTCTCTGCCCCGCTCTAAGCCCGCTCTCCTCACCCCACCGCCCCTCTCTCACACCTCAGGTGAGGTGCAGAGCGACCACTGTGAGGAGTTCTTTGTGACCCACGAGGTGGAGAAGCAGCGAATCCAGAGGGGCTGTAACCCCTACCCCAGGCTGACCCTGCTTCCCTTCCCCTCCCCTCCCCTCTCACGCACCTCAGGTGCAGAGCGTCCACACCGAGGAGTTGTTTGGGTCCGACAAGGTGGCGAAGCAGCTAATCCAGAGGGGCTGTAGCCTCTACCCTAGGCTGATCTTGCTCCCCTTCTCCTCCCCTCCCTCCGTCTCTCACACCTCAGGTGCAAAGCGACCACTTCGAGGAGTTCTTTGGGCCCGAGCTGGAGAAGCAGGGCTACGCTTCCGTGTTCAAGAAGAAGACGGCGGAGGTGTGTAATTTTAAGGCGCCTTACGAAGGAGACGGCGGAGGTATGCTGCTGAATGAGCGGTGTCTTGGTGTGTGCGAGCTAGAGTGTGGGTATGGGCATTGGGTACCGACCGAGAGCTGGAGAAGTAGGACCACTCGTCGGTGTTTGACTCAAGGGTCATCTCATGCGCATCATCATCCTTATTTGTACCAACCAACCCTATGCTCCCTCCCACCCTAACCCCCCCCCCCCGTACACACTGTCACGGCATGCGTCATGGATGGCCTTGTTGATTCAATTGGCAAGGTGTCATCTGCCATCTCTCTTCCATGTACCTCTGATTCCCCCGGGTATTCACCACGGCATACGCCATTGATATCTTTGCTGACTCGAGAGTCACCTTTGACGTGCGTCATTCACCTCAATACTTACCTCATTTATGACTCCCAACCCAAGGGTATCCGGCACAGCATATGCCGTTGGTGGCTGGGCTGGGCTGACTCAAGGGTTGTCTTATTGCTGCCACGTGCGTCAGTGGCGACCTCATTTCATTTCATGCCTCCCTCCCACCTCTTCAGGTGTACTCCCTCCCTCCCCCCCCCTCCCTCTCCCACCTCTTCAGGTGTACTCCCTCCCTCTCCCCCCCCCCCCCCTCTCCCACCTCTTCAGGTGTACTCCCTCCCTCCCCCCCCCCCCCCCCCCCCTCTCCCACCTCTTCAGGTGTACTCCCTCCCTCTCCCCCCCCCCCCCCTCTCCCACCTCTTCAGGTGTACTCCCTCTCCTCCCCCCCCCCCCTCTCCCACCTCTTCAGGTGTACTCCGGCAACTTTTGAGTCGACTCAAAAGTCATTTCATGCCTCACTCCCACCTCTTCAGGTGTACTCCTCAAAGGCCGCCTTATGTGGATCGTTCACGTCAATAGCAACCTCAATTTATCCCCCCCCCCCCCCCCTCCCCCCCTCAGGTGTACACCGGCACGGCATACGCCATTGACGGCTGTGCCACCTTCTTCCGCCGGGATCGGTTCTCCCTGGTCAAGAAATATGAGGTGAGGAGAGAGTGGTGGTGAGGGGTGCGAGGTGAGGAGAGAGCGGTGGTGAGGGGTGCGAAGGGGGCATTGGTGCTGAGAGGGCGAGCACTAGCACGACGTGCCACCGTCTTCCGCCGCGATCAGTTCTCCCCTTCCCTGGTCAAGAAATACGAGGTGAGCAGAGAGTGGTGGTGAGGGGTGCGAGGTGACCTGAGAGCGGTGCTGAGGGGTACAAAATGAGCCCAGAGTGTGGTGAGATGAGAGGTATGAGGTGAGCGCATGCCGAGGCGAGGACGAGGTGGGCACAAGCACGAGAATGCAGAAACATACTTACTGTTAGTTGCTCTCTATAGCACTCTCACCGTCTACCATGTCTGTTGGCACTCAGATCCGCCCTTTCTTCCCCCCCCCCCGCCAGCTACAGGCGGAATTCCACCAACTGACTCTCTCTCACTGTCACCCTTTCATCTCGCCCCCCTTCACCCTCCCTCATCTCACTTCCTCCTTCTTCTGTCCCAGGTGGAGTTCAACAAGGCTGCTCTTTCGCTCTCTAAACCCTGGCACCCCTCAATCCACCCTTTCGCTCCTCTCCCTTGCTGTCCTCCTCCCCTTGCCTCCTCTCCTCTACATTCCCCAGGTGGAGTTCAACAAGGCGGCTCTCTCGCTTTCTGAAGCCCTGGCGCCACCTACCAAGAAGGCTGCTCTCAACCGCCTGCTCAAGGTACATCTTTTTCCTGCATCACTTAAAACCCAACTTCTTATACCACGCGCTCTGGATTGAACCACAGGTGCTCTCAACCGCCTGCTCAAGGTACCAACCAACCTCCTCTTAGCTGCATTGCTGAAACCCGCAGCTTGAACGCCTAAACCCTACACTTTTAACCCTCAACCCTGGCGCCACCCGCCAAAAGGCTGCTCTCAACCGCTTACTCAGGAGGGGTACTCATCTCCTCCTCCCTTCATAGCTGAAATTCTAAACTTGAAAGCCTAAATCCTAGACTTTTAACCCTCAACCCTGGTGCAACCCACCCACCAAGAAGACTGCACTCAGCTGCCTCCTTAAAGCCACTTGAGCCACTTAAGACCTCCTCTCTCCCCTCCTCTCTCCCCTCCTCTCTCCCCTCCTCTCTCCCCTCCCCTCTCCCCTCCCCTCTCCCCTCCTCTCTCCCCTCCTCTCTCCCCTCCCCTCTCCCCTCCTCTCTCCCCTCCTCTCTCCCTCCTCTCTCCCCTCCTCTCTCCCCTCCTCTCTCCCCTTCTCTCTCCTCTCCTGCCTCCCCTCCTCTCTCCGCTTCTCTCTCCCCTCCTCCCTCCCCTCCTCTTCCCCCCTCTCTCTCCCCTCCTCTCGGCCCCTTCTCTCTCCCCCTCTCCCCCCTCTTCCCTGCGCCACCAGGACAATGTGGCGCTGATAGTGGTGTTGGAGGCGAGAGACGCGGGGGACGGGAAGGATGGCGCATCTGGTGCTCCTGCGAAGAGACAGCTTCTCTGTGTGGTGAGATGCGGTGCTGTGTGGTGCATTGTCAGTTGCAGTATTGGGGTTCACTGATAGTGGCGTGCTGTGTGGTGAGTATTGGTGTGTTGGTGGTGTGGTGTATTGGTGTATTGCTGACAGTTGTATGATGAGCTACAACAAGGCTCACCATTCTACTCCGTGGTGCTATCTCTCTGTCTGTCGTTCTGCCTGTGCCTGCCTATTGATCTTCCCCTTGCGATCCCCCGCTGTCAATGACTACCCCTGTGTGTGTCCCTCTTCCCCTCTGCATCTCCTCTTCTCAGGCCAACACACACATTCTATTTTTTAGGCGCCTCAAAAATAGACCCCTTTGTGTGTCCCTCTTCCCCTCTGCATCTCCTCTTCTCAGGCCAACACGCACATTCATGCCAACCCGGAGCTCAAAGACGTCAAGCTATGGCAGGTGAGGGGGTAGGGTAGTTGTTATGCTAGGCGGTAGGGTGGAGGCGATTGTGTGTGGCAGGTGAAGGGCGATGGGGTAGTGGCAATGAGCGTTGGGAGATGGAGTGAGTTTTGAGGCGCCTCAAAAGGCAGGTGAGGGGCGAGAGGTGGCTTGGAGCACAGGGCGGTGAATCTGTGGCAGGTGAGGGGCGGGGGGCTAGATGGTAGAGGCTAGAGGCTAGAATGTAGGGTAGGGGCTGAAATCGGACACGTGGGGTGATGGGGCATCAGGCCGGCTCGCACATCCATGCCAAGCCTGAGCTCAAGTACGTGAAGCTGTGGCAGGTGAGGGGCTGGAGGTTAGACGGAATTAGAGGCTAGCAGCTGGAGGGGAGAGGGTATATGCAGTGGCTAGGAGTGGTTGTGATGGTGTGAAGAAATGGCAGATAAGGGGGAAGGTGATATGGGGGCTAAGGGCGAGTGCATGTGATGCCAGGAGCTAGAGTCCTGTGAGGCATGTGGTATGGCATGTGGTATGGCATGTGGTATGGCATGTGGTATGGCATGTGGGATGGCATGTGGTATGGCATGTGAGATGCATTTGTTGCAGTGCACCATAGTCCGTGCCTGGCAGATGGGCAGGCACATGGTGTAGTAAAGCCAACACGTACCTTCGCATCTGCTTCCTCCAGCACTCCCACCCTTCTCCCTTGTTCTAACGCTCTCCTCTTCCTCCCTCCTTCCCCCATGCTTCTGTCTGTGTTGGTTGTGTGTGAGCTCGTGGTCTACTCTCACCCGACTGAACTCTTTCCTCACCGCACCATGTGTCACCAGGTGCCTTTTGAGGCGCCTCAAAACTCACCCGACTGAACTCTTTCCTCACCGCACCATGTGTCACCAGGTGCACACGCTGCTCAAGGGCCTTGAGAAGATCGCAGCTAGTGCCGACATCCCCATGCTGGTGGCGGGAGACTTCAATAGTGTGCCTGGCAGGTGAGCTTTTCAAGATTGCATCTGGCAGGTGCGCACCTGCCACTGCCATCTAGCTTGCAATCTCACATCTGGCAGGTGCGCACCTGCCAGTGCCATCTAGCTTGCAACAGCTCACATCTGGCAGGTGCGCACCTGCCAGTGCCATCTAGCTTGCAACGGCTCACATCTGGCAGGTGCGCACCTGCCACTGCCATCTAGCTTGCAACGGCTCACATCTGGCAGGTGCGCACCTGCCAGTGCCATCTAGCTTGCAACGGCTCACATCTGGCAGGTGCGCACCTGCCACTGCCATCTAGCTTGCAACGGCTCACATCTGGCAGGTGCGCACCTGCCAGTGCCATCTAGCTTGCAACGGCTCACATCTGGCAGGTGTGCACCTGCCAGTGCCATCTAGCTTGGAACGGCTCACATCTGGCAGGTGTGCACCTGCCAGTGCCACCTAGCTTGCAACGGCTCACATCTGGCAGGTGCTCACCTGCCAGTGCCATCTTGCTGCTGATGGGTCTGCACTGCTAGCCCCTCCCTATATTTGATGCATCTCAGAGTATGCCGCCCACTCTGTCTGTCTGTGCTGTGATCCCACATAGGTAAGACCCCTCCACTCCACAGGAGCTGGTTATTGTACCCACCTAACGCCAACCACAGACACATACTCCTCCTTCTCTTCCTCCCCCCTCCCACCTCCCCGTCCTCCCTCTACTTTCGCAGTGCGCCGCACTCTCTGCTTGCTACGGAACGAGCAAGCAGAGGGGTTGATTTCGATCCCTACAAACAAGTCTCTGCTCCCTTTACTTTCGCTGTGCGCCCCACCCACAGCTGACTGTTGACATGATTGAGCTTTTCCCTCTCCCCTCTCCTCCCTTATCTCTCTCCACCGCAGTGCGCCGCACTCTCTCCTTGCTACGGGACGGGTGGATGCCAACCACCCAGAGCTCGCCACCGACCCACTCGGCATCTTGCGGCCCGCCTCGAAGCTCTGCCACCAGCTGCCCCTGGTATGCTGGCCTGTTTGCTGTCATATGCTACATTCTTACCAGCTATGCTCCATTCCCTCAGCTCTGCCTCACCCTCCTGGCTCCTTGCGACCCGTCTCCAACGTGTGCCACCAGCTGCCCCTGGTAGGGTAACCGCGCTCTCCGAAGTGTTACATCGTAACCACCTCTGCATCAGGTCTGTGTCGAAGCTTCATGGCGGGACGGCAGCACAGCAGCGGCTCATGGGATGGGACCCCGCCCACTGCAACAAACCTCTCGTTTATCCTTCACGCTTATTCGCCCTTTGCATGCCCTCTTCTTTCTCTTTCCCCCTGCAGGTCAGCCCGTATGCTTCTCTCAGCTGGGGGCCTCCATGGCAAAGAGGCAGCGGAGGCGAATGGACGCCAGCAGCAGCGAGGCCCTGTGTATTCCTCTCACTCCACTGCCCCCCCCCATACCCCCTACATCCACTGCCCCCCCCCCTATACCCCCTACATCCACCCTGACAGGTCAGCGCATACGCCTCTCTGAGCCGTGGGGGCTCCGTGGCGGAGAGGCAGCGGCGGAGAATGGACGCCAGCAGCAGCGAGCCGCTCTTCACCAATGTGACGCGCGACTTCATGGGCACGCTGGACTACGTCTTCTACACCGGTGGGTGCCTGCTCAAGTGCCTTGTCTGCTTTGTTTGCTGGGTGAGCTCTCTGTTGGTTGCTCGCTGGAGTGACTTGACGTGCTGCTGCTTGCTGGTGCTTGCTGGTGCTTGCTGGTGCTTGCTGGTGCTTGCTGGGGTGACTTCACTTGCTGGTGCTTGCTTCAAGCAGCAGCGCACCTCCCTTCACGATTGGACTCGGGACGTCATGGGCACGCTGGACTATGTCTTCTACACCGATGGGTGGCCACTAGTGGGGATCCTAGTGGTGGTGCTAGGGGCGATCTTAGTGGCGGTGCTAGGGGCGATCTTAGTGGCGGTGCTAGGGGTGATCTTAGTGGTGGTGCTAGTGGAGATCCTAGTGGTGGTGCTAGGGGCGATCTTAGTGGCGGTGCAAGGGGTGATCTGAGTGGTGGTGCTAGGGGAGATCTTAGTGGCGGTGCAAGGGGTGATCTGAGTGGTGGTGCTAGGGGAGATCTTAGTGGCGGTGCAAGGGGTGATCTGAGTGGTGGTGCTAGGGGAGATCTTAGTGGCGGTGCAAGGGGTGATCTGAGTGGTGGTGCTAGTGGTGACTCGTGCCTTCATGGGCACGACTATGTTGTCTACACTGGTGGGTGCTCGTTGGAGTGGGTGATCTGGCAACAAAACATGGCAGCAGCGTGAGGAGTCTATTTCCTCTTCCCTGTCCTCTTCCCTCTCCTCCTCCCTCTCCTCTTCCCTCTCCTCCTCCCTCTCCTCCTCCCTCTCCTCTTCCCTCTCTTCCCTCTCCTCTTCCCTCTCCTCTTCCCTCCACATTCCAGCTGATTCCCTATCTGTGGATTCCCTGCTCGAGCGCTCCTATGCAAGGACAGCGTGCGAAAGGGCACCACCCTCTCTCCCCCCTTTGAACAATACCTCACTTCGTCCCTCCCACTTTGTCTTTGTATCCCTTAACCACAGCCGACTCTCTCTCTGTGGAGTCGCTGCTCGAGCTTCTAGACGAGGACACTGTGCGCAAGGACACCGCTCTACCCTCCCCCGAGTGGTCCTCCGACCATCTTGCCCTGCTCACAGAGTTCAGATACAAGCCCAGGATGCGGCGATAGAGGAGAAGACTCTGTTACAAACAAAGGACAGGGGGAGAAGACTGTAAAGGGTATGTTGCAAAGTGGTCATCTGTCCATCTTGCTCCACTGACAGTCCAGATACAAGCCTGGGGTGCAGCGGTAAAGAGGAAGTCTGTAAAGGGTACAGAACTGGGTGGTCACAAAAACACTTCTACTCTTCTGCTAGATGCAGTTGGATGGTGGGGCGGTAAAGGGGACGACTATAAAGGGTACAGCCCAGGGTGGTCACCAGATCATCTTGCACCACTGGCAGAGCTGTAAGGTTAGGCAACGATGCGGCGGTAAACGGAGGGGCTATACGGGGTACGGGGTGTACCCGCAGATGTTGGTCGCATGTTTTCTTCCTATACTGGACAGAATAGGTGCAAGCTGAGGGGGAGAGAGGGAAGAAGCAGTAGGGGTGCTGGCTCATATGCATTGGGAGGGGGGGGTCAATCAAGCATATGGAAGAGGAGGCGGCGGGGAGGGAGTAAGCGTATCGACGCCGCCATGCCTTATGAGGAGTCTGATCGTTGGCAAAGGGAACTCCTATGTGTGACGCTTGAGTGCTGTGTGGTGGTTCACCCTGTTGGCATGTGGTGCCATGTGCCAGTCTATCCACATCTGTTTGGGTCGTGCGAAGCCATGAGCTCTGTTGGACATCAGGGGGGTATAATACACTGGGCAGTGCAAGCAGTGGGGTGGTATGTTGGGTTTGTGAGGTCCAATGCTGGTAGGAGCTTGCGTTGACAACAGCAGTACCTATCAGAACAGTCCGATAGGGCCGGATTAGTGTTTCAGCGGGCAAGAGGGGAGATGCCTTGGCAGCAAACAGGCGCTTATGACACAGCGGCAGCATGCGAAGCAGGCAAAGCCACAGCATCTTCGGGGCAGTGTGTGCAGAATCAATTACTGGCACGCATTGCATCAGCAGAGACTCACTAATGACTACCACCACTATAGCGGTTAATCCATTTTGGAGGTGTCTGTTTCCTCCACGAGACGATGGCATATCGAGATGCTCTCACAAGTCTGAGGGGGGTTTGTTCTGCCTTCTGAGATACATATGTATACTTGATCTATCATATATTTCCAGCTCTCTAAATCTGTCCTGCCATGTGTGTATTTGAAGTGGACTACATTAGGTATCTGGTTTCCGAGTGTATAGCTCGAGTTAGTCCATTGATGGTACACCGCCTTGCGGCCCTGTGTACTCGTTATAGTGCTCCATAACGAGCTTGCAGTGTCTTCCCTCCCCAAGTACAAAGCGCGCCAATCCCCTCAGTGCATCAATTCCGAAATCCGGAAACAGCGGCAATGGCGGCTAGCCCGACACTGCGCGCCGCTTTCGCGTCCTCTCCTATCGCCGGGCCGCTCTCGACATGTAGATCGCACCGCTCATCGACCCCCGCGAACGCTAGCTGGCTACATATTCCGTCTGGTTACCACCCGCGCTGCTCCCAGATTCTCGCCCCCTGCAGCGGTGCCTCTATAAGCGGGGAGGAGCTTTGCTCGCGAGGGCTCGTCTCAGGATCTCGTTACTATGACCGCGGGTTTAGTCACACCTTGTCAGGGTGGAAGGGCAGCAGCAGGCGTGGGGGAGCGAACCGAGCAAGCGGGGTGGCCAGAGCCGCTGATCCATCGGGCTCTTCCCAAGCAAAGCAGGAATTTTCTGTACGGATTTCCGTTTCCGGCTTGCATTCCATTTCGGGAAATGCAGTATCTGTCTCTCCCAACTTATCGTCTTCCCATTTTCTCTGCTCCTGCTTTCGTCGCCTTATTTATCCCAGCACCCAGTACCCTGTACCCTGTACCCTGTACCCTCTCCCCGCACCCCTTGCTTTCTTCCCCAAACTACCGCTCTCTCTTCAATGCCGCTATAATTCCGCTCTCTTTACCCCATTTTTTAGTCGACTCAAAAGTCACCTAGCTATGCCGCTATGATTCCGCTCTCTATAATCCATTTTCTGCTCCCCCAGCCCTCTTCCCTACGCCCTCTCTCTTCCCCCCTCCCCATTCTATCGTCCCTTTCCCTCTCCTTTCTGTCCTCCCAACCTCCTTAGTTCCTATTGCAACCCCACACCCCTCCCTCCTCCTCCCTTCCCCGTTTCCCAACTCCAACCCCCTTACCCCATGGCAGACGAGGGGCCATCAGTGCCTTTCAGTTGCCTCTTACCCCTTCACCCCTTACGCCTTGCACCCCCCTCCCCTCCAGTTCACTCTCGAGGGCCCATCAGCGCGAGTCCGAACCCTACTTTCCGAGTCGACTCAAAAGTCACCTCGTGACGCGATTCCGAACCCTACTTTCTGCCTCCCTTTGCCTCACTCCCTCCCATCCCATCCCCCCCTCCCCCCCCCCCCCCCGTCTCTTCGTTCCCTGCTCCCCCACTCCCCTCTTCCTCCCAGTTCACCGACGAGGGCCCCTCAGTGGAGATCCGCGTGCCCATCCCCTCCTCTCTCCGGCCAATCCAGTCGCGCCACGTGGCAGTGAAGGTGGAGGAGGATGCGCTGGCAGTGGCTGTAGCGCCGCCAGCTGGCTTCGGCAGCAAGGAGGCGAAGGAGCGGTCGCTGCTGGTGGCACGACCGCTGTACGGGCGAGTGAAGGCCAGTGAGAGCGTGTGGTGAGTGAAAGGCGGAGCTGGCCGTAGGAGCAGGGGGGGTCTTTGAACGCCAAGGAGGGGAGGGTGCGGTCGCTGCTGGTGGCACAACCGCTGTACGGGCGAGTGAAGGCCAGTGAGAGCGTGTGGTGAGTGATTGAGGGAGCAAAAGGGCGAGTGAAGGTGTGCTCTCAGTGAAACGGGTTGGCTCTGGCAGCAAAGAGGGGCGGGTGCCATCTCAGCTGTTGGCGAGTCCGTTGTATGGTATGAGCGAGTGAGTGTGTTAGGTTTTTAGAATTCTCACAAACCTAACACAGTCCGTTGTATGGCATGGGCTACTGAAGGCCAGTGAGAGCATGTGGTGAGTAAAGGAAGGGCGTACAGTTTCGGGTTTCATGTTTAAGATGCAGCAGCGCCTGGTGGGTCTGGCAGCAGGGGGTTCTGAAGAGCAAGGAGGGTAGGTGCGGTGCGGTCGCTGCTGCTGCTGGGGAGTCCGCTGTATGAGAGAGGGAGTGGAGGCGCATGAGAGTTTCTGGTGAGTGAATTTGAGTGTGTTTGTCGGCGTTTTTTATTATTATCAATTTTAAGGGAGAGTGGCGATGTTTGACTGCACGTGTGAGGAGAGTGAAGTGGAACGTGATTGTGTGGTTCGGTATGGACTTGGGCGTGTTTTGAGGCCATTCGGGCATGAGTGGGTGGCAGTTACTTATGCTAGAATGATGCTAATGGTAGCCCTCTGTCCGTTTCCCAAATATCTCTCAATTCTCTTGCCGTTTCTTGTTACGATTGCCTTGTGATGTTATCACTCTCTCCGCACTCATCTGGTGTACGACTCTACTGTTATTTATCTCTCTCCCCCTCTTTGCCGCCCAGGTATATCGACGATGCAGAGATTGTTATCACTCTCGTCAAACAACCCCATCCCTCCTCTCCTTCCTCCTCCTCCTCGACTCCCTCTCAACCATCCTCTCCCACCCTCCAACAACCACCACCTGCACCTTCCGAGCCTGTCTTCCAGGCTTGGCCGACCCTGCTTCAGGGTTGGGCGGCACTGACCGAGGCGGTGGCCAATCAGCTGAAGAGCTGCTCTGTGCTGCTGGTGGGCGGTAGCTCTTGTCTGAATGCGGCTGTTGCTGCAGAGCTGGCTACAGGGTTAGGGTAAGTCTGATCCTTCTGTAATGAGTCTATTTTTGAGTCGACTCATTAGGGTAAGTCTGATCCTTCTGTAATGAGTCTATTTTTGAGTCGACTCATTAGGGTAAGTCTGATCCTTCTGTAATGAGTCTATTTTTGAGTCGACGCATTAGGGTAAGTCTGATCCTTCTGTAATGAGTCTATTTTTGAGTCGACTCATTAGGGTAAGTCTGACTCCTTCTGTAATGAGTCTATTTTTGAGTCGACTCATTAGGGTAAGTCTGATCCTTCCTGGGTTGGTACTGGTAGTCAGTTGCAGGACCCAAGGGTGTGAGTCGTTCGTCCTGTGTCTCTGTTTCCATCTCCCATGTGCAACCAGCAGCAGGTATTCACCCTTCAAATTCTCAGTATCTGCCAAAGCAGGTGTTGTCACGTGATGGGATGCGGTATGATGTCTTTTGTTTCAGGATTCCTTTCAAATGTGATGTGTTGCATGTGATTTCATCTCCCACGTGCACCGTCCAGATATGCACCAATGGTGACTCAGCAGCTGGTGGAGCAACTAGCCTCTGCAACCATTGATGAGGGTGCGTCACGCGTTACCTGGTGGCCCTGTGAAGCAGCATACTCTGCCGCAGCATGTGTGGGGGGTTTCGTCAGCTTGTGTTGAAACGTCTCTGAACTAAGTTAGAACCTTGAGGGCCATTGCAGCACCTCATGTGTGCTGCAATGGCCCGCGCGATTTTGTCTCCCGCCCCATGGGGGGTTTTGAGACGTCATATAGGGTTGGTTTTGAGACGTCTCAAAACCCCGCCCCATGGGGGGCTACCCTCCTTGCCCTCCGCAGCCCACGTGTAATCCATCTACGACCCGATGGGGGGGTACCCATCTTGTCCATGTGATATAAGGTTGTTTTTGAGACGTCTCAAAACCAACCTCTTACCCATCTTGCCCTCGCGCTCTCCTTCTCTTTCCTGCCCTTGTCGTTTGCCCAACTCCCGTCTCTCCTTCCATCTTTCTTCCCTTGCATCCCCCTCCTGCATCCCACTCTTGCATCCCACTCTTGCATCCCCCTCTTACCCCTCGTGGTGACTTTTGAGTCGACTCAAAAGTCTTTCTTCCCTTGCATCCCCCTCTTACCCCTCCATCTCACGCCAGTTGCCAGGGAAGAGGGGCCCGAATCAGTGGCTCAGGCGGAGACTGCCCTATTGGATCACCTCTCGTCGTACGTACTCTCCTCTCCTTGTATGTTCACGTCCCTCCTTTTAGACGCACATCTCTTGTATGCATATTCACGTCTCTCTGTGTGTGCGGGCAGCTAACTCATAAAGCCCATAAAACCCCCCTAACCTTCCTCTGCAACACACTCCGTGTGGTGGGTTTTGAGCCGACTCAAAAGACACTCCGTGTGGTGGTTGCCACCATGGGCCTACCCTACTGGGCGTTAGTGCAGGCTGCCGCACTCAACCCCATGAACCCCTCTGAATCCATATCCCCTGCAGCAACCTGTGAGTGGTGGTTGCATTGCCATGCCACCATGGGCCAACCCTACCGGGCGCCACTGCAGGCTGGTAGCTGAGCGTTGCTGGCCTGTACTTGCCCCCATTAACGCCTTCGAACGCATCCCCCCCACACTGCAGAACACTGCGAGTGGTGGTTGCGACCATGGGCCAGCCCTACGGGGCGTCACTGCAGGCTGACAGCTGGCGGTTCATCCACGGGGGGATTGCGCTGTGGCTGGACGTGAAAGGTGGGTGCTGGGTGCGTGTGAGCAACCGTGCTGATCAAGTGTCCATGGGGGGGGTTGATCGAACCTCTGCAGGCTGACACTTGGCGGTTCATTCACGGGGGGATAGCGCTGTGGCTTGATGTGTAAGGTGGGTGGGTGCACGTGTGTGCGATGTGGGTGCTTGCGAGCAACAGTGTTGATCAAGTTGTACCTGGCATGGGGGTGCATCACTGCCTGCTGACAGCTGGCGATTCATTCACGGGGGGATAGCGCTGTGGCTGGACGTGAAAGGTGGGTGCTTGTGAGAAAGCGTACTGATCACATCGAGGTGAGGGGTTGCATAGCTAGCATAGGGGTGCATCACTGCAGGCCGACCGCTGGCGGTTCATCCCTGGAGGGATAGCCCTGTGGCTGGATGTGGAAGGTGGGTGATGGGTGCTTGTGAGCAGCAGTGCTGATCAAGTGGTTGCATAGCAGTTGCTGGTCAAGCAACAGTGCTTGTGGTAGCTAGCATAGGGGTGCATCACTGCAGGCCGGCAGCTGGCGGTTCATCCCCGGAGGGATAGCGTGGTGGCTGGACATGAAAGGTGGGTGCTTGTGGTTACAAGTGTTGCTCAAGTTGTATGTAGCATGGGGGCCATTCACTGCTGCATGCAGGCCGGCAGCTGGCGGTTTATCCACGGAGGGAT